TAAGTGGTCAATAAAGGGAAGGGGAAATGAGCAGGACGTCAGCCTTGCATTTGTGCTGCAGGGATGGTTGCCTAACGAGCGCTGAGGCTCGTTTCCTGTGAGCGTGACGCATGTGCTGCTTTGAGTGGCTGGGCTCAGTTTCAGGACAAACGTGCTGCAAACGGCCAACGTGTGGGCTCTGGTCTCATTTGTGGTGGTGTGAGTACATGCAAATTCATAGGTGCTCACATCTTTTCACAGTCACTGGCAGAGTTCTGCTCCCTGGACCTGGTTCTTCTTAGATCTGATCCTGAAAGATCCCAGAGCGTTTCGCAGAGCACTCACTAGCAGCATTCCCCATACCTGTTGAAAGGCAGCCTCTGTTTTGCTGTTCTGCTCCACATGCAAGATATAAATACTTTGCAAGTGGAAGAGAACTTTCCAGAAAGAGAAGGCTGTTTTCTTTGCTGGTATTGAAAGTGACCTGGCTTGCGACACCTCTTCCATAGTATTTTACAGATGAGACACTGACCCCAAATGCTCCGGATTTTGTTTTTATTTCACTCCAAAGGTAGGGCGTCCAAATGCTCCTTAAAGTGTTGAGACACGCAGGCACTAGCGGCTCATCTGGAAGTCACTCATGGTATTTACTGTCCCACACCTGGGTATTTGGGAGGTCTTGAGACAGTCCTACAGGTCCTTTCATAGCTTCCATGTGTTCACACTGAAGTGGGAAAGGCTTCTTTAGTTGTGTCTGGACTCTTATTTCGGTGCTTGCAACCAGAGGTTTCTTGCCTAGACTGAGCCCCTTGTAGCTCTTTTGATTGTAGCTAATGTTTGTTCTCTGCCTGCCTTGTATTGTTGCAAGTTTGTCTTAAAGCTTTCAGTACTGATGAGGATAAAATATTTCAAAGTGCAGCTTCTACGTGGTGACCAGTGGGGCGTTGCGGTGCCAAAATCTATAGCTGTTCAATTGAGCATCTGAATTCTCTTCTGGAGGCTTTCATTTTGGGGGCCTCTGAGGTCCCATTTTCTTTTTGGACCCAGATACCCCAAATTCCTTGCTAAAGAGAGATGCTGCATGATGAGTATCTCCAGATTTCCCATCCCTGTGTTGGAAATCAAGGAAGTATTAAAGTAAGGGAGGTGGCACTGTGAGGCTTGATCACCTGCAGAACTTGTTTAAGGTACTGTGGAAGAAGTAACCACATCACAAGGAAATGCCTTGTTTCCTCTATAAGGTCAGCATGGGAATGGAGGAACTGACCAAGTGCCATTTTATCTCCATGTTTCTCTTTAAAGGTGGGTTTTGGGGTTGTTTTTTTCCACAGTCTTATCTAGTAAGATGTCAGGACTTGTAGTGGGGCAGCCAAGGAGGATGTTGGTGGAGTACTGGAAGAGAAAAGCTGTTGGTAGAGGAAGCCCAGAGCCGTTGGGACCTGAAGGGTCTAAGCAACTGGGATTTCTCAATCCTTAACCACAAAAATGAGGAAGAGGAAGTGAGAAGGAGACCCTATTTAGAAGATCCACCTTATCAGACTGGAGGGGTTCTTAGGGTGCTTCTTGGAGCTATGGGTGTTTGCACAACAGGCTATTTTTCCCTCTTCCAGGGTGGAAGGGTCCTGTCTTCCTGACCAGTGCTCTGTTCCCAGGCGCACTTACTCTCACACCGTATGCTAATCTCTGAGAAGGATAGCCTGGCCAGTCCCTGTAGGGCTCGTCCTGTGTGCTGATCTTTACCTCTTTGCTCCTTCTGTAATCCTTCTCTTCCCAAACTTTCTTAAGAGTCTTATGGCTCTTTTTTTTTTCTGGAATTCCTGTGGGAAAATTTTTTGACATCCAGTTCAACCATCCTGTTTTTCCACAGACTTTGCAAATTAGGAGCTCCCCTAATCTCCCAGGAAACAGTTCTGTGCTGTGTGAGATGACCTCTTGAAGACCTCCTGGGGGATGTAGGTATCAGTTTAGTTCAAGATCTCTGGGACTTAACTGTTTTTCTCTTTGCTGCTGATCTGGTCTCCTGTGGTGAGCCCTGGCTGCAGGAGGAGCAGGGAGTTACTGAGGATTTGTTGAGTGCAAAGGGAGCTGCCTAGTGCCTTGGGCTCAGTGAACTTGTAGAAGAGCAGCTTGAGTTTTTCCAGGCTGATCTCTGACAACATTGACCTCTTGCAGAATGTCTGCTTTCTGTCCCTTTGCACCGAGCAGCTCGAAGTTTTCTACTTTCTTACTGCCTCATGGCAGCTCTCCCTTTCAGCCTGACAAATTAATTCTTCCAGTTCTGTTCTGTTCACTGACCTTTTCATCTTTCACATCTCTTCCTGGAAGCTCCAGCTCTCCACCCAAGTTGCTGTAATTTAAAGAACATTAAAAAAACCCTGTCATTGAACTGTGTGCTTTGAATTTTTTTCTGCAGCTACTGTTGGCTGTCCTACCTGCCAGCCTCCAGGCATGCTGGTATATAAATGGAATAAGCAGTCAAAACTTGTGGTTGGAGAAAAGAGCACTGGGTGGTTGTATACAACCTGTCTGCTAAAGAACATTGCTGGGATTTGAGTTTGTTTTTACAGTAACTGATCTTTTATAAGAAAACAAAAAAAATCCATCCTAATCGTGATTTATCCATGAGGCTCTTACATAGCTGGGTTTGAATTTTGAGCTCCTGTATCCCTTGGGAAATTTAAGAAACAGTTTGTAGTTGTTATGGACCATCTTGTCAGTAGGTTATTCCATATTCTGCTAGCAGTAGAAGGTGAAGGTGGTTCTACTCTGTGTTGAAGAGCTGTTCAGCGGGTGGAGAGAAAATTTGGGATGTTGTACTGAAGATCTGGAGTATCTTCCTAGCTCCCGACTGGAGTGACCCAGTGTAACCTGTGCATTGAATTTGTTTGTGGACTGAGGGAATGTCTACCTGGCAGCCTCCTAAGGCAAAGTGTATTGGATGTGGTCCTGAATGAAGACTCTGAAATTCATAGTATAAGTGAATTCAGACCTTGTGTTTTGCTGGTAGCCAGCTGAGGACAACTGTATGCCCCAAAGTGCTGGGATTTGGGAATGTGTTGTGTATGGACATTTCCTTGGTGGGTGGTACAGTGGAATATGATACTTTGGTCAGCTGACGTGCAGCATTCTTTAGGGTATCTTACATGCCAATTCTGGTTTGGTTTTTTTTGGCCTCTTGGGAATGTTCTCAAATGGGACTGTAGCAGTTAGAAGAAGCTATTAACCGTAGGTGTCCCTGGGGGCTACAGCCTTAAAAGATACCTACTGTGCTGTTGACTGCAGACTTATCCTACTCGCTGTTTGTGCAGCTCCAGCTGGCTGTTCCCTGAAGTGGCATTTTCCTGGCTTCAGAAGCCTCCTGCCATTTTGGGGGTTGCATTAGCAGTGTGGGTCTCGGACATCTGAGCTGTTCTTTCCCTGAAGATGTGTTGGTAAAGGGATTGCTTTCATTTCTGCAGGTACTGCACCCTACAAGGGTCAGTAGTTCCTGTACACCATATTCCTCAATTAGAGTAGTTTACCTTCTGCTCTCTTGAATGTAAAATCATTTACAACGCCAGTAACCTTGACAAGGTGCTGGTGCACTTCCTGCTAGGGGGAATGCGGGCTTCCCAGTTGAATATTTGTCCTGCTGGTGATTTGTCTTTCGCCAGGCTGTCTCATAGCAGCTGGTATTCATCTTCTAATCCTCTGCAGTTTTTACAGTGATTTGCATCCCACACACAGTCAGTGCTTTTAGTTACAGCTTGTTCTCATTATCTTTGGGAGGCTCCCCTTCAGCCAGGATTTATTGTGAAGTCTCTGTATTTTTAGGCTGGACTGTGCTGCCTCCGCAGTTAGCTGCAGACATAGAGGGAGGGGAGGGATGTTGTGAGTTCTTCCTCAGTGGTGGGGAGAGCTGGTGATTTCCTGGCAGGCTGTTTCACACAATGAATCCTTTCATTATGCTTCCAGGAACAGGGAGGATGCCGGACCAGCTCGTGATTCTGGATATGAAGCATGGAGTTGAAGCAAAGAACTACGAGGAGGTATGTCCCCTGGCTGCCTGCACTGCAGGCTCCCCTTTCCCAGCACTCACGTGATGCCATTTGTAGATCTGGGGCTCATGATGGGAAGCTGTTTTCCCAGCGGTGATGAAAGCCTGTCTGCAACCTACAGTTGCAGTGAAGCTTTGTGTGTTAGGGGAGGAAAAAAAAAAAAGGGAAACATCAACTAAAATGAATTCTGTACTCTGGGAACTGGAGCCTTATGTGTGAATTTATTTGCTAGGACAGCATGACCCAGCTTCTGGGTGTAGGTATTAGAGGCAACAGGAGGCTGAGATGTGAAGTTTCCCCAGCCCCAGCAGCAGAGGGCATTTTAGGTTAATACCAGATCCTCCTAAAGGTCAAGTTGTGTTGTTATTGTTCTTACCTTTGTGACTGTGAGATGTGCTGGCTCAACAGCCCTGAAGTGGTGCTTGTACATTTCTAAGAACTGGCAGTTTATCAGTGTAAAGGTGTTTGGCAGAGTAGTGGCTGGTGTGAAATGGGCATTTGGTTTGAAGGCATTGCAAACAGGCATAAAGCCTAAATGTTTCTATCTTATGAGGACATAGCTTTCTTAGACCCAAGAGCCAGCTATGTGGAATAGCCATTGCTTTGTGGCTGGGACAGTCTGGTTGCTACTATGCTTTTGGTTCACCAGAATTTGGGGTCAGTCAGCCCCCAGCACAGAGCCTGTGCCTGAGGAAACGAGAGTTGTTGGCGGATAAAGATTCCTGCAAATGATTGCCGTGTCCACTGTGCACAACAGCATGGGAGATGCCTCAGGGAGGAGAGGGGGTAGCAGGAGGCTGTGTATGGAGCCAGTTAGAAAATGAACAAATTTCTGAGATGAGCATGCTGGAGCTTTTATATCCTTTTGAGCTTTGGTTTAGCTGCCCCTGCGTGGCTTGAGTCAGTTTAGAGCACATCCTACATTGAGAGTAAGAAAGTGCTTGGGGTCAAGGAAAAGCAGAGCAATCATCGCTTGAGTCAGTCTAGAGCACGTCCTACATGAAGAATAAAAAAGCGCTTGGGGTCAGGGAAGAGCAAAGCAATCATTGGGCCAGCTCTCTGGCAACCAGCGACTGAAGGATTACAAGATATGGAAATCTTATGGGATGACTCCTGAGAGGGTAAATGGGAGGATTATGGTGACTACATTTACAGAATCTCTTTGAATACAACCCCGCAGCATACTGAGTTACATTACTGTAAGGCTGCCTAGAAGCATTGTCCCTATGCAGAAAGATTCTTATGCCTGTATATCTACGTAGTCACTGGCTGTACTGATAAAACTGTCTTGGAATAAAAGTAAGTGTCCATTATGCTCGTCAGTGTAGCTAGATCAATGGAAAAGGTTCATGGACGAACATAGGAAAAGAAGAATTTAGAATTGCAGTCCCACCTGATACTGAATGCAGACCTTGACAGTGCTGGCAAACATCCTTGACTTATGAGGACCTCTCAGAGTGGCAGGCTGTTGAGCCTTGTTGAGCAGCATGTTTGCAAAGGACTGAAACAGGTTTACTGTTTGTACAGCTGCTATGGATGTTTAGCCACGCTGCTTTGCAGTGCATTTTCTTTTTTTCATCCTCTCTCTCCCCGGGTTGCTGTAGTATTTGTGGGTTTTGACTTGACGTGTTGCTGTAAAGCCCCAGAGGGGAGGACTGCTGCTCAGGTTTCTTTCCTGGAATTGCTGCCTTTTTGAGCCTTTTGCTTGTGATGTTCATGTGCTCTAAGGTACCAGTGACCCGTCTTCCCTCCCAGTTCTTCATGTTGAACTGCTTCAAGGAGACTTGATGCAGGGAGTTGAACGAAGGTCTCTAATGTTGTCCTTGTGCATGGATATATGGAGTGAGAGGAGGGGTGATGATATTCGAGTCTGGCTTCTTAAGCTTTCATAGATCCAGACATTCTTGGAGCAAAGCAACTGGGAGAGTGAGCTGGGTTAGAAAACCTAACTGCATGGCAGTGTTGTACCTTGGTTCTCTGGGGTAGGGAGGGTTAACTTTATCCATTCAATAAGTAGAAATGAAGGTAGTGAAAAGTGAAAAGACTTTTCAGAGGGCATGAAGAAGGCTTGGCAATCTAGGTTCCTTTCCAGATCAGCTACTCCTTGTCAATTCTTGGCTATAGTGTATCTCTTTCTGTGCTGGGAAGAGAGTTAGGCTTTGACAAATCTTTGAGTGGCCCCTGAGAAGTTTAGTGGAGTTGTTGTCTTGATTGTTCTGGTGGTCCAGGAGTTCCTTCTAGGATGATGGTGTTCCACCATCACAGATGCTTGGTGGGCTTTTTACAAAATCCCTTGGAGCAGCTGTGCATACTGGCTTCACTAGGGATGAAAGGGGTTCCAGGATGTGGGTCTCAGAGTACATGCAGGGCTATAAGTAGCTATCAGATGTTTCTAGCTACACCTATTAAGAGCAGCTGAAGGGATGCAGGATGGAGCAGACAAGCCTTGTTTTTTCCCAGTGGAACCTTTGTAGCCTTCTGTGAATGAGGAAGGGTGCCCTCCAGGAAGATAACGGAGCTGATCAAGACCGGGTTAGCTTGTCAGTAGAGCTGCCTGAGATCTTGTGTGTGTTACAGACCCACTGCTCTAGCTGTGTCAGCAGAGTCTGGGCCATGGGCACACTTAACACTGGTGCCAGTTTTTCAGCAAAGCTCTGATGGCCAATACGTGTCCAGGCCACAGGGTTTTGTCAGTACAACCTATTGGCTAGAAAGCGGGAGGGGTTTAACCTCCCGTTTCCTACCCGTTCTCACAAACACACTCCGAATTGACACTGCTGTGCTGGCAGAGCTGTAATGTGCAGCTTGCCTCAGCATAAAAATCCTCAGATGACTGCTTGACGGCCTGCGGCTTGCCAGGATATGCGGGTCATGTGAAGACCCTTCAGTGAAATAGCTGATTAGCTAGCACTGGCCTGGTCACGAGCATCTCTTCAGACGGGCTCTGACGCCCAGGCAGCTGCCTCTGGAAGCAGCATTTTGGGGATACCCGCACCCTGGGCGCCCTGTTGCCTACCTGTTAGCACTACTGAGGGATGCTGTCCTGCGGCTTATGTCTATATCCTGTGTGGCGGTGAGACCAGTGGTGAGCTGCGGGTGCTCCATGTGTTTTCTGTAGTGCATCTCTCTTCTGCTGCACTACTCAGGGACAGGGTATCTGGCCTTCATGGTGGGGACCTGTCACTCAGTACTAGTGACAAATTCTATGGAAGAACCAGTTACCCAAACCCTACGCTGTAACAGTGGCAGGAATTGTAGTTAGCTTCCTTTCAGTAATGTCCTTGTGTCACAGATTTTATATTATGTGTAGACAGGTTACAGCCAGGACTGGGGCAGGGACATGTGTTCACACATTCAACTTTAAATAGTTGCTGTTGTGGACTGTGCTTTCTCATTGAATTTCCTGTGGATTTTTCGTTTTGGCTATTAGTCTGTGACTTGTAGGACAGTGGGTTGCATGTTCTGCACAAAAATGATGTCCTATAAAACCAGCTTTTATGAGGGAAGTGCATTTTTCTTTCAAACTGGCGCAAAGGCAGCCCGTCCCATAAGTATTCCAGCAGCGTCACCTGGTGGCTTGAGACAGATGGAGCACTTGGTAGTTGCGTGGTCCCTACCAAGCGCATGGGCTGCCCTTGAGGTTCAGTCTCAGTGATAAAAGCCTTGAGCTCTTGTGGGTGTAATCAAACCACTACTACTGGGAATCAGGCTGCCCGGGCTTTCTGGGGCGTGTGGCAACAGTTAGCAAAGTGAGTCTCGGTGCTAATATCCCATGTGCCTATAGAACGATATTGCGTGCGTGCACGCGTAAGTTAGTCACCTGTATCGCGGGCTGTGACTTCTATTCATTGGAGGTTTAGTCATGTGGCAAGCTCTTCTACCCACTCCTCAGAAGCCAACTGTGAATTAGCTAACATTAGGCCGAATAAGGAAGAAATGTGCTTGTATGCATACTGGGCTCCTCTGTTGTGTAGGAGGGTAGTAGGAAAGTGTGTTTCAGAGAACAGGTGGGAGAAGTGATAGTGCTTTATGCAATGGTAGTTTCTGGTTTGTAGAGGTGTTTCCCTAGGGGAAGGACGCCCCAGAACTGTAGCGTGTGAGGAGGAGTGGTTCAAACTGGCACTAAAAACCAATGTGGGAGCTTTTGGTTTTGGCTCGGTGATTGCCTGACTATTCTGTTTTCTAGATTGCTAAAGTGGAAAAGTTGAAGCCTCTGGAAGTAGAATTGAGGCGCCTGGAAGATCTTTCAGAGTCCATCGTTAATGACTTTGCCTATATGAAGAAACGAGAAGAGGAAATGAGGGACACAAATGGTAAGAGACTGCATGCTCCTTCAGAAGGATGGAGCTCTAAGATCCTTACTTCCGCTTAATGTGTTATTAGGACAGCATTTGGAGATCCAGCTATTGTAGTGGTCTCTGCCTGTTCTGTTCCTAGTAGGGGAAACCTACTGATACTTCTCTCCCTCTGAAGTAGTCATGAGTCTTGTGTGTCCCAGCTCTAGAAATTATTTCTTTCTGTCTCTGTTCCTAATGTGAATTACTCTGTACCATTTAATGTTGCCCACTAATCACAGTTTTGCCTTGTTCCCTCTCATTATCCTTCCCGTTCCCTCTGCTTTTATTCTCATGTACTGCTTGTGCTTGGGTGCCCTTGCCTTCGTGCTGTATGATATCTTATCCTTAAAGTTTCGCAGGGGTGGGGAGAGAAAATTCTGAGAACTTTGCCCTCTTGAGGTGCATCCTGTGATGTCAGACTCCTGTGCAATGGTTTGTTGTCTGTTTCAGAGTCGACAAACACCCGGGTTTTGTACTTCAGCATTTTCTCCATGTGCTGCCTCATCGGACTGGCTACGTGGCAGGTTTTCTACCTGCGTCGCTTCTTCAAGGCCAAGAAACTGATTGAGTAAAGGAGCAAGTCCTCCTCCCCCTCCTCTCAGACCCAGCTGGACACCGCCGGGACCCAGCCATGGCCCCCTGGAGCCATCTCACAGATGATACCCACTGACTGGAGCTTCTCTGCAGGAACTTGGACCCTAAAGGGGGAGGGGAGCCTAAACATTGGAGGCAACGGGGGACTTGTAAAATCCTGTTGGATGTTGAGGGTGGGGGAGATTGTGATGGGTTTGGGGATTCCTGGGGCAGCGATTAAATAAAAAAAGATTTTTCCATGACAGCTGCAGCAAGTTTTTGCGCTGTCTGTTCTCCTTTTGTAATCTTGGCTTGATGATGTCTCCCATCTGTCTGTGACTGTAGTGTTACTCTGAGCCACTTGACCCTGCTGTGCTCTTCAGGTGCCATGCAGCTAGCACCAGGGCAGAGCAGGGGATTCCCTGTTCTGACCAGCTGGGGTCTGAGCCTCGTGCAAACGGACGTGAGTGCAAAGCAATAGTATTCATCATTCCAGCAGGGCCTGAGGATAGAGGGAGGCCCAAGGTTTGGTCCCTGTCGCGGACCTCTGTGTTTCTCCCTGTGGGAGCTGGTGTCTTTGTGCGGACAGGTCAGGGCGCTTGAGTGTATGATGGTTCAGCCTGGAGGAAGGGGAGCCTTGGAAGGAGGGCTTGGGAGCATGTTTGAGCTTGGAAAGGAGAAGCCTGCTTCGCTCAACTAAGCTGTCCAGCCTTGATCCCACCCTTGCTCCACGTGTTTGTCTTGGATTTGCCTCTCTTGTTCTGCAATGATGCAGCAGTTTTCCTGAAAGCCTTAGTCGAGGATGGCCTTTTGTACAGACAGGAGGCCTTGGTCAGATACAGTCAGAGAGCAAATAGGAGCAGGTTATGCTTGGAAAATTGGTCTTACATTGAGCAGGAGACTTCTCATCTAACTGTAGCGTTTATCCAGCAGGCAGCTGGCTGAATCTCACTTTCTGAGACCTCAAAGCAAGGTGGGCTGCTGCTCATGTGAAGCATGAGGGCCTGTGCCCTGCTTTGAGGTCTGTGGGTGCGAGGGGTGCTTTGCAGGTTGGCAGAGGAGTTCTCACAAGAATGTGGACGAAGTCAAAAAAGCAGTACAGCGTAGGAATAAGCTAATTCTGTGTCTGAGGGGAGTCTGAACTGTGCCCTCAACAGCATTGTTATTCGCCTATGCAGTACTACAGAGAGCCAGCAGCTTCTTGTCATTTCTCAGTTGTCCAGATGGCATGATGTTAAATAAGCCAGGCTGGGGAAAAAAAAAGGCAGATTAACTTCATGGACTTACCTGCTGCAGTTTTTAGGCAGTGATTAAAATTCTTTTACCTTCTCTGCATTCCTTCAGAGCAAAAGGTT